TTGAGCCCACAGGGTCCAATCCTCAGCCATTGTGCCGTCTGCTTTGCACCACGGCAGCATCACCAGGAGCGGGAAAGCTGCCCTAAAGGGGCAGCCAAGGACTCCCCCTCACTCAGGGGAATCCTCAAGTGGTGCAAAACCAGCATAACTGGCTCTACGACACCAGTTTCCCACGCCCTCCCTCAGGAGGGGGGTGGGCAGAGTGCACCACCAGATTCTTGACCTTTGCAGCCTCTGAAGCTGTTGTAAATTCCATCCAGGGCTGAAATGGCTTCCATCGAGTCCAGGATCCCAGGGGCTGGAGGGCCTGAGCCCACAGAGCAGTGAGCAGTGCGGAGAACAGACAGGTGCTCAGGTCAAACAGCCTTTGGGCTAAATGCTTTCTGCCTTTGCACTCGTCACTGGGCTGTGCTAACGGGTATAAATAGTGATAGGTTTGGACAAGAACCCCAGATCAAAATCCCTCCAACTTGGATACAGATCTGAACTTTGCAGCGAGGGTTCAAGTCTCTGTGATTGGAATGCATGGGTATGACTCTGAATTCACTTGCACTTCTCCATCAGTGACTTCAATGGAATTATTCCTGTTTTGCCAACTTGTAAGTAGCAGGGGGACCAGTCTCCGTGTTTCTACCTGTGAGCAGGCCTACCATTGCCATGTTAGATTTACCCTATCAGATCCCCGGGCACGGACACAGAAAGACAATGGACCGGATTGTGCTGTCACTGGGTGTTAAGGAGTAATGCCACTGCATCCCATGGAATTACAACTGGTGTCAAAGCAGAATCAGACCCAGTGACTTTATTAGGCAGAGAACTGAGAACCATTAATCAGCAAACCCCTTAATGGACAGAAAGGCAGAGGAATCCATTACCGCTCGCCTCCTGGGAGCTCATCAGCAAGAGAAACAACAGAGCCATCAGGAAGCTTGATGATACAAGCCACACCTTGGCCTACAGTGTCCTGAGCATTTGGCTTTAGAGAAGTTTTCTCTTTTCTAGATTAGGATCTAAGAATCCTCCATGGGGAGGGGAAGGGAAGAAGAGCCCTGGGGAGGGAGAGGTTGGGGTCAGGCCCGTGAGGAGAATGCTACATCAAAGGGCACCTTGTCTTCTTTCTGGCCTTCCCCATGCAGCAAAGACTTCTGCTACCCTGGATTTGTAAGGGCTTGTTTTCACATACAACGCTACAGCGGCCCTGCACCTGTTGCGTTTTACCCCCAGTGCTGACGGCACCATGTCGGCAGGAGAGCTTCTCGCACTCTCCCATCAGCACAGAAGCGTCTTCACTAACAATATAGTTCCTGTAGGTTTCTTGAGGCTGACTTCAACAGGAGTTCTGGCTGAGCAAGGACTTCGGGAGCTGGCTCTCCAGGGTGAGCTTGCCAAGGGAAAATAGAGACCGTGGGCAGCGGGGCTTGAAGCCGGAGTTGGAGATGCAGGTATGTCCTCCTAAGGAGTGCCCCGGATAACAATGGACCAACAATTGGTCCTGCTTTGAGCAGGGGGTTGGACTAGATGACCTCCTGAGGTCCCGTCCAACCCTGATATTCTATGATTCTATGACCAAACCCCATTGTATTGATTCTGTTCTTAATTAAACAATACTCCTGTAGGAGTTAGTAGGAGCATTGATTGCCTACAGGGTTGTGTAAAGAGAGCTGGATATGGGTCCCAATAATTATTAACAAAATAATTAACAAAGTAATAATAATAATAATATTATTTTGCAAGTCTATAACATATAGCACCCTTCCGGCCACAGTCATTAAAAAGGCTGTAAGGCCTAAGGGTGCCTTATGGACTCCTACCCTGTTGAGTTAAGCAATTGGAAGGACAGAAGGATACTGCAAACAGTGATAACCCCAACCCACTGGCCTTTCTGTTGTGAGTCGGTGGCACAGCCTGGCACCAAAGACACTGTCAGCTGCAATCATATCTGTATCTCTGCAGAAATGACAGATGGTGATATGTTGTACACAGATACTAGGATTGCGTACATTAGAGACAGAGACAGCTAACTGGCTAGCAATAGGTAAGCAATTCAAATATTTCCATATAGAAGCAACGTGAAGACTTGCAATGATCTTGCCACTCTGAAGTCCCACTGTGCCAGCTGGTACATATTGTTATAATTGATTTACAGGGAACTACATAGTTTTACACCAAGGAAGCATGAGGTATGATGATTTCAACTGGAGACAAACAACTGGTAACTGGTGGATTGTTCTATTCTTTGTAGCACACTTTGGACACCATATAACTAATTAACTAACACCATGTGCTCTGTAATTTTGCAGCGATTGCCTGTCAATGTTGCCGTTTGTAGCTGGCACCAGCAAACTGCTAATTTGGAGCAAACCTTTTCACAGTTTTATAGCAGTCAAGGGAGGCCAGTGGGAATTCTTCCATTGACTTTAGTGGAAGCAGCATGGGGCCCTTCAAGAACATCTCGATGACACCGTCCCCGTACATGCTTTGACTTCCCAGTGCTCCCGGGAAAACGTTTGGAATGAGATGTTTGAATGTACCTGTGCCTTCGGAACAGAAGGCAAAACGATTTCTTCCTCTCTTGCAGTGCTCAGCTCTCTTGCAAACCCTGCTTAGATATGGTGCCAGTGGGCTTTATACAAACACCCTTATTCTGCTCTTGCTTAAGCCAGTTGGAGACTGGTGTGACTCCACTGATTTACCCCAGTGACTCCCGATTTACACCAGCATGCCTGAAATCAGAAGCAGACCCCCATATCTGAAAATTGTCATTTCACATTGACCAGAGAAGGATTCTGATACCCAGGAAAACTTTGTAAATATGGTGTAAACTGCAACTGCCTTGCATATGCTTCCCCCCCCCCATAAGTTCTTCATGCTACTTGTTAATTACACTATCGTGCCAAGTATTTATGGGCCTGATCCTGCGCCCATTGAAGTCAATGAAAAAACTGTCAGCCACTTCAGTGTCAGCAGCTCTGGGCTTTAATAAGGATTCCTGCTTTCTCACAGGCCCTTTACTCCTCCTCTAAGTCAGACAGTGGTTCTCAACCAGGAGCACACATACCCCTGGGGGTAGGCAGAACTCTTCCGGGGGTACATCAGTTCATCTAGAAATTTGCCTAGCTTTACAACAGGCTACGTAAAAAGCACCAGCAAAGACAGTACAAACTAAAAAATTCATAAAGACGATGACTTGTTTATACTGAGCTATATGCAATACACTGAGATGTAAGTACAATAGTTATATTCCAATTGATTTATGTTACCATTATATGGCAACAATGGGAAAGTCAGCAATTTGTCACTAATCGTGTGTTATGACACTTCTGTATTTTTAGGTCTGATTTTGTAAGCAAGTAGTTTTGAAGTGAGGTGAAACTTGGGGGTACACAAGACAAATCAGACTCCTGAAAGGGGTACAGCTGTCTGGAAAGGTTGAGAGCCACTGCTCTAAGTCACTCCAGACAGAACAGGAACTTGTGACACTGGCAAAAACAATCACCATGAACAGGGATTGGAATAAAACAGGGGATTAGAATGCAACAGGAGAGAATGGCTGGAAGGGAGGGATAGAGAGATGGAGGGATAGATAGAGAGATAGGGTGGATGGGGATAGAGAGATAGATAGATTAGATAGACAAGCCTACTGGATCCATTTAGAGAGACAGAACCAGATTGATAGAGCCAGAAGAGTACCCAGAAGTCACTTACTACAGGACAGGCCCAACAAAGAAAGTAACAGAACGCCACTAGCCATCGCCTTCAACCCCCAACTAAAACCTCTCCAGCGCATCATCAAGGATCTACAATCCCTCCTGAAGGATGATCCCTCACTCTCACAGACCTTGGGAGACAAGCCTGTCCTTGCTTACAGACAGCCCCCGAACCTGAAGCAAATACTCACCAGCACCTACACACCACACAACAAAAACACTAACCCAGGAACCTATCCCTGCAACAAACCTCATTGCCAACTCTGTCCAGATATCTATTCAAGGGGCAACATCATAGGAACCAACCACATTAGCCACACCATCAGAGGCTCGTTCACCTGCACATCTACCAATGTGCTATATGCCGTCATGTGCCAGCAATGCCCCTCTGCCATGTACACTGGCCAAACTGGACAGTCGCTATGCAAAAGAATAAATGGACACAAATCAGATGTCAAGAATTATAACATTCAAAAACCAGTCGGAGAACACTTCAGCCTCCCTGGACACTCAATTACAGACTTAAAAGTGGCAATTCTTCAACAAAAGAACTTCAAAAACAGATTGCAAGGAGAAACTACAGAACTGGAATTAATTTGCAAACTGGACAGGAGGGATGCTCAGTGGTTTGAGCATTGGCCTGCTAAACCCAGGGTTGATGAGTTCAATCCTTGACCATTTAGGGATCTGGGGCAAAAACTGGGGATTAATCCTGCTCTGAGCAGGGGGTTGGACTAGATGAACTCCTGAGGTCCCTTCCAACCCTGATATTCAATGAAATTAGGCCTGAGTTAAGACTAGGAGTGGAATGGTCATTACACAAACTAAAAACTATTTCCCCATGCTAATTTCCCCCCCTAGCGTTACTCACCCCTTCTTGTCAACTGTTTGAACCACTAGGAAAGTGGTTTTTCTTCCTGCTGATAATAGCCCACTTTCATTGAATTGTCTCCTTAGGATTGGTAAGGCAACCCCCATCTTTTCATGTACTCTCTCTCTCTCTCTCTGTATGTGCATATATATAGAGAGAGAGAGAGAGAGAGAGAGATCTTCCTACTGTATGTTCCACTGCATGCATCTGATGAAGTGGGTTTTAGCCCAGGAAAGCCCAAATAAATGTGTTAGTCTGGAAGGTGCCACAAGGACTCCTCCTTGTTTAAGAGGGCTACCCCTCTGGAGCAGGTAACTAGGTACCTGAAGGGATAAGCTTGGCTAGCTAGAGCTGCTACCTTATTTCCAGCACAACCCCGCCCGAAGTGACGGCTGGGGCCCGCCCTACAAGCCCGGCCCGGACACGCGGGTTGCGGTTGCGAAGCCTCCGGGCAGTCCCGTCTCCGGCGGCAGCGAAGGGGTTCGTCGCCCTGCCGGCGGGAGGGAGGCTCATTGCCTGGAGCGCCGGGACCTTTGGGCCCGCAGCGAGCCGGCTGCTTGGCTCCTGTCCCCGGGTGTCTGCCCGCGGCCGGCGAGGGGGCGCCCTGCCCGCCCGGCACCATGGAGCGAGCCTGAGCCGGCGGCTCTCTGCGGATCGGGGCCGCCCCTCCTGCCCCCAGCGCCATGTCCGAGTTCCCGGCCAAAGTCCGCACCCAGACCAGCACCCCGGCTGGGGCGCACGGCCCGGCCGGGAGCTCGTTCCCGGTGCTGCGCTCCCTCGGCCTGGATCTCGGCTTCCTCCGCTCCTTCCTCGGGCTGCTCATGATCGTGGAGCTGGTGAGTACAAGCTCCCGGCACCGGGCTGGGCAGGGGCTGGCAAGGAGGGGGACAGGTAGGGGCTGCAGCAGGCTCGCTCAGCGGCTCTGAGCCCCCCCCGCCAGACACAGGTAAGAGGCACCTGGTGTTTGGGGGCCAAACCCCACCTCTTTCCCTCCAACCTTTGTGCAAACGCCCGGAGCGCCCCCCTTCCAGCTCGAGTGGTGTGCAGGGAGCCGGGGCTGTAAACAGATCCCAGGCACCTGCGGGTGGTTACCGTGGCGGGGGGGGGCTCCGATTATAACCGGGGCCTCCCCCTCCCTGCTGGAAGAGACGCGGCGCACACGGGCGCCTGGCCCACGCGTCTCTCTCAGCCCCCCTGCCCGCTTGGCCGGACACTTTCACCGCGTCCTCCCCCTTTGCCCGTAGCCAGGGTTTCGGTGGTGAAGTTCACCAGAGAGCCTCTGCCCCTCTCCGGGCTGCAGCCTTTGTGACTCGGGGGGTCCCAGGGGGCACCAACCCCCCCGGGGTGTCACTTTACACAGATTCCCCTTTTCTGGCGAGCATTCTAAAAATTGACCTTTTCTGCCGGTGCCCTAATTTCACAACGAAGTTGGAACAAACGCCTGGAGGTGAGGGCACAAATTCTGAGCACTGGAGAATTTTACAGCGCTCCATGGTTGCATTAGGGAAATGATCAAAGGCAGGTTTCCCTGCCTAGTCCACAATAATGGCCCCAGCCACTACCAATTACATGAGTGGTTCTCAAACTTTTGTACTGGTGACCCCTTTCACATAGAAAGCCTCTGAGTGACACCCCTCCTTATAAATTAAAAACACTTTTTATATATTTAACACCATTATAAAAGCTGGAGGCAAAGGGGGGTTTGGGGTGGAGGATGGCAGCTTGCAACCCCCCATGTAAGAACCTTGTGACCCCCTGAGGGGTCCTGACCCCCCGTTTGAGAACCCCTGAGTTACAGCAAGGTCAGTGCACAGGCTGGGCCATTATCCTGTTTTTTAAATAGGTAATAACTAGTTAGAGGGCAGTGTAATAAGGATATTTTTAAAGCTTGACAGAATTAGATGTATGGTTTGACACGTAATTATGGGAGAAAAGTCTATAAACGTATTAATGGCTTGATTCTCAGCTCATGGTGTGAATCCGGAGTAAGTCCAGCGAAGTCAGTGGCATTGCACTGTAGCAAAACCAAAGTGAGGACATCTGAATGCCACAGAAAAATTGTGGGCCTGATGCAAATCTAATCCCTGCTTGTTTTACCCTAACGTAACTCCACTGACTTCAGCAAGTCACAGCTGGTTTACACCCAGTGCAAGTGAAACAGAACCAAGATTCCACTGCTCCAGGCCAGAGTTGCAACAATGTAACAGAGGAAAACTTGGCCGCATATTATCATTGTGTTACGTAGTGATCCACTGTGCTATGAACTGGTTATTTTCATGCACCGCCTCTGGTTTGCATTCTGATTGTAAAGCATGAAGGGTTGTTTAGTCAATCAGGTCACTTGATTAGCCAAAATTAACCACACATGGCCTGTTGCAAAGCAGTGGAACAGTTACCCTAGTAACACACTCTGCGACCTTTGTCGTGGAGGAGGGGGAAAGGGTAACAGCACCTCCAATCGGACTTTCAACTGCCCCGTGCTTCAAAGCACATTTCAGTGTTCAGAGTCTCTTCATGGGGAGAGCTGTAGCCAGAATATGGTGGTAGCTGGAGAACCTTGGAACAGAGAATTGCTCCGGTTGGCTTCCTATGGAAAATAGACACTGGAGTCTTTATAAAGTACCAGCCACTGTGACTAAATTAGAGACAAACAAGAAGGACACTTTTAAAAAAGTGTACAATCTCATAATATGATAAGACAAAAGAGTGTGTTTGCTACCTACATCATCACCAAATCATTCGTGCATTTTGTACTGAAAGATCAGCAGGCGGAAGAAAAGCATATCATGAGGAATAAAAGGTAAAGCTTTAAAGAGATTTCATGCGGATAATATTCACCTCCTATAGCCATGAAGATCATTCTAAATGGCATAAGAAACTCCCTAAAACAGGTGCGAAATTACACTCAGTCCCTTGACAATCTGACATGGAGTTAGATCAAGAAACACCTTTGGAAGATCTTTGTGAGAGGAAGTATGAGCTTCTCTTAGTTTGAAAGAGGGCTGTAATGTTTAGAGGTCACATTACACCCCCATTCATTCTAATACCTCTGCCAATGCCCCTTCCTCCCTGTCTTTCTACCCACTCAGATGTGTGAATCGGTTCCCTTTCCTGGGATCTGGTAGCCTAGGACTCTTTAAATGCCAGGGGAAATTGTCAGGATAAAAACCCATCTATTAAAATGATTCCTTTTATTGGATCAGATGATTCCTTTTATTACTTGCTCATCTACGGGGGTCTATTCCACCACGCACACCCCAGCCCCAAAGGTAACTACATTGGTCCCTTTTACTTCCCAGTTCCCTGGCATTAGCAGATGCTGCTGGTTTTTATTTTACTAAGCTGGATCCTGGCCATTCAGGGCTTGGAAGATCAAAACCAGCACCTTGATTGGCACCCAGGAGTGAGTGGGTAGCCAGTGTGGAATGTTGAGCTGAGTACAGTGTAACGAAGTACCCATATATACCTTCAGCAGCAACTTCTGAATGGTCTTCAAAGGCAACACCAAGTAGAGGGAGTGTCAAGACTCTCGTGAGGAGGGATAGGGGCGAGGGCTTCTGGGACAAGGTCCGTCACCCAGAGGAGGGTCCGCAGATTCCTAACCAACCTTAGATCATTCCTTGCCAATGCCTGGGAGTGTCTGAGCAATGATGGACTGAGTAAGTGCCTTAGGCTGTGGGCTGTATCGGAAAAGGGAAGGCTGTAGACTGCCAAAAGTGGGTGCGGGCTCAGCCCACCCACGTTCCCTGAAGCGCTTGCCCCTGCCTATCAGCATCACTTTCATCCTGAGTGGATTGAGCTGCAGCCACTTTGCTCTCATCCTCATCCCCATGCTGGGGAAAACAGAGCCCGCAGTGCTGGGATTCAGTGAAAAGGGATCACCCACACCCTGCCAAACAGTGCGGCTCCCAGGGGGTGTACATACATACATACACATGGAACGGGACTGGGGCCAGCATGGAGTGAGAGTTCCCACCGAGAGGGCAGTGCAAGCCCGTTGTAAAGCCATTGCTCTCAGACCACCCTGGTGCCAGAGGGGAGGCAACAAAATGTCATGGTCCAGGCCATTGCAGGGTACTGACAGATTGCGATAACAAGCCTGGACTCCTTACCTGTCTCCATAGCTAGGAGATCATCTCTCACAGTCAGCCATAGCCAGACTGTCTGTGCCATATCCCCATAAGAACATAAAACAGCCATCCGGGGTCAGCCCAAAGGTCCATCTAGCCCAGTATCCTGTCTTCCAACAGTGGCCAATGCCAGGTGCCCCAGAGGGAATGAACAGAACAGGTAATTATCAAGTGATCCCTCCCGGCAAACAGAGGCGAGGGACACCATCCCTGCCCATCCTGGCTAACAGCCATTGATGGATCTGTCCTCCATGAACTTATTTCTTTTTTGAACTCCGTTATAGTCTTGGCCTTCACAACATCCTGTGGCAAACAAGTCCACAGGTCAACTGTGCGTTGTGTGAATAAATATTTCCTTTTGTTTGTTTTAAACCTGCTGCCTGTCAATTTCATTTGATAACCCCTAGTTCTTGTGTTATGAGGAGTAAATAACACTTCCTTATTTACTTTCTCCAGTCATGATTTTATAGACCTCTATTCTCTCCCCCCTTTGTTCTCTTTTCCAAGCTGAAAAGTCCCAGTCTTATTAATCTCTCCTCATATGAAAGCTGTTCTAGCCCCCTCATCATTTTTGTTGCCCTTTTCCAATTCGAATATATCTTTTTTGAGATGGGGCGACCACATCTGCACGCAGTATTCAAGATGTGGGTGTGCCATGGATTTATAGAGGGGCAATATGATATTTTCTCTCTTTTTAGCTATCCCGTCCCCAATGATTCCCAACATTCTGTTCGCTTTTTCGACGACTGCTGCACGTTGAGTGGATGTTTTCAGAGAACTGTCCACAATGACGCCAAGATCTCCTTCTTGAGTGGTACCAATGAAACCAAACTAAGAGGGGTGTCTGGAATACAGAGCAAACTGAAGCTGCCCTGCTTCCTCAGAACTTTTCAGACAGGAGGATTCCAAAGTGCTTTGCAGTCCCCAGCCAGGAACTATTTACTCACCAACAAAATGCAACCACCTCTGCAATGGAATGTGGCAGCTGTGTAATAGCCTGCAGGAATTCTACACAGTAGTATAGGATAGGAAGTAAAGAAGCAGTGGTTATCCAATTGATAGGAGAAGGGGAATTTTAAGTAGGCAAAATGAAATTAGGTAAACTGGAAGCTGGCTCGGACTTTAATCAAATCTAGGTGTTTCTGTCATTAGCCTGTCACGGAGTGTGGGGGAGTCCAGGCCCTGCACCCCTCTTCCTGGGATTCACTGAGACTCTCAGCCAGCCAGTAAAACAGAAGGTTTATTGGACAACAGGAACACAGTCCAAAACAGAGCCTGTGGGTACACCCAGGACCCCTCAGTCAAGTCCTTCTGGGGGAGCAGGGAGATTAGACCCCAGCCCTGGGGTTCCCTGTGTTCCTCCACCCAGCCCCAAACTGAAACTAAACTCCCCCCAGCAGGCTCTCTCCTCCAGCCTGTCTTCACATTCCTGGGCAGAGGTGTTACCTCCACCTCCCCCTCCTGGCTCAGGTTACAGGCTCTCAGGTCTCCCATCCCCAGGGCACATTCCCAGGTCAACACTCACCCCTCCCTGCTGCGTCACATCGTCACATAGCCCCATTAGAGTAACAAAAATGCCACGTGATCTTTAATCAGCACAAGCGGTCAGGGTCTTAGTCTTCTATCTCAGGGTATGTCTACACTTGGAAATTAGGTCAATTTTATAGAATTTGATTTTTAGAAATCAATTTTATACTGTCGATTGT